TTTATGATATGGGATGTTAGTGCTATCGGTCTGTAGTTCTTTGCTGTTGCTTTACTGCCCCCTTTGTGGAGTGAGGCTATGTCTGTTGTTTTTAGTAACTGTGGGACGACCCCCGTGTCCATGCTCCCTCTCCATAGGATGGTAAAGGCTCGTGATAGGGGCTTCTTGCAGTTCTTGATGAACACGGAGTTCCATGAGTCTGGCCCTGGGGCAGAGTGCATGGGCATGTCATTTATTGCCTGTTCGAAGTCATTTGGCATCAGGATAACATCAGATAGGCTTGTGTTAACCAAATTCTGTGGCTCTCTCATAAAAAATTAATTTTGATCTTCGACTCTCAGTCTGGTTAGTGGCTTGCTAAAAACTGAGTCATATTGGGACTTGAGTAGCTCACTCATTTCCTTGCTGTCATCTGTGTAGGACCCATCTTGTTTAAGTAAGGGCCCAATACTGGACGTTGTTCTCGACTTTGATTTGGCATAGGAGAAGAAATACTTTGGGTTTCTTTCGATTTCATTTATGGCTTTTAGTTCTTCCCGCGATTCCTGACTCCTATAAGATTCCTTTAGCTTAAGTTCGATGTTTGCTATTTCTCTGACCAGTGTCTCCCTACGCATTTCAGATAGATTGACCTCTTTTAGCCGCTCTGTTATTCTTTTCCGTCGCCTGTAAAGAGAGCGCCTGTCTCTTTCTATTTTACATCTACTCCTCCTTTTTCTTAGAGGAATAAGTCTTGTGCATACATCAAGTGCCACCAAGTTAATCTGTTCTAGGCATAAGTTGGGGTCTGTGTTGCTTAGTATATCTTCCCAGCTTATATCGGTTAGGACTTGGTTTACTTGGTCCCACTTTGTTTTTGTTATTGAAGTTGAATTTGGTGAATGCTCCCCCGTGACTAATCTCATTTTGTCGGTCTGGGGCTCTGCGCATACATGTCTGAACCTCAATTATGTTGTGATCTGAGTATATTGTTTTTGATATGGTGACATTTCTTATCAGATCATCATTGTTAGTGAAGATGAGGTCTAGTGTATTCTCCATTCTAGTAGGCTCTATTATTTGCTGGTTTAAATTGAATTTTGTGCAGAGATTTAAAAGCTCGTGTGAGTGTGAGTTTTCATCAGAGCTGCCTCCTGGTGTTATTACTGCAACAATATTATTTGCTATATTCCTCCATTTTAGGTGCCTTAAGTTGAAATCCCCCAGGAGCAAGATGTTGGGTGCAGGAGCTGGAAGATTTTCCAGACAGTGGTCAAATTTTAACAGCTGTCCTGGAATTGCTGGGATGTTGCATCCGGAGGCTTGTAGACTACCACAATGACTAGGTTTTGGTTCTCGACCTTTACTGCTAAAGCTTCCACAACATCATTTGAGGCATTAAGCAGTTCTGTGCAAACAAGTGACTGCAATGTACAGGCCAACCCCCCCCTTTTGCCTGTTCACTCTGTCACATCTGTATAGGTTGTAACCTGGGATCCATATTTTGTTGTCTAAGTGATCCTTTATGTGGGTCTCAGTGAAAGCCGCGAACATTGCCTTTGCCTCTGCAAGCAGTCCAAGGATGAAAGGTATTTTGTTGTTTGTTGCTGGCTTTAGACCCTGTATATTTGCAAAGAAGAATGTCATCGGACTGGTGGTATTGTTGGTACTGGGGGGGGATTTTTTTTCCGGCATTAGTATCTGTATCTGTTGGTTTGGAGTGGAGGCCATCGACTGTGGTTCCACTCCAGGAATGACTGGATTTGGTGTACAATTTCTGCCATTTCCTGCCAGTTTTTTTTTCCTTCCTGGCACTAAAAAACCTTTCCTTCTTGAGTGGCTGCGCGGACAAGTTCGGGATGAAAACCCTCAACTGAGTTATTTGGCGTTAGCCAAGCCAATACTGTGTTTTTATGCCAAAGTGAGCTGTTATCCAATTTTGGCACTAACCGGTGACGCCTTTACTATATTGTATACCTTTCTCACCTGCATTCCAGGGAGTACAAATCAAAGGACTTCAGCCATTCGCAGTAATTTTGGTGCTTTATCGTACCTATACGTGCCATGAAAGTTCTTTGTAGGTTATCCAGGTCTGGAATTTCGCCAGGCTTGAAGGGGGCCATTAATAATGTACGGCAATGTTCCAGCCTAGAGAGAACAAGCGATTTGAAGAGAAACATTATTGTCTTGGCATCCCTAGTTCTGAAGGCTCTCATTATGCATCCAATAATTTTTCTAGTGGATGTGGTAGAGACATTGTTGTGATCTTTGAATGTGAGATTCTCTGACATTATCACTCTCAGGTCCTTCACATTAGTTTTTCACTCTATTGTGTTGTTGAAATTTGTTTTATAATCAGATCCAGTTTTTATTTCCTCGAGTTTTCCATAGCAGAGTAATTGAAATCTATCTTCATTGAACTTCATGTTGTTTTCTGAGGCCCATTTAAAGACTTGGTTAATATCTGCTTGGAGATTTACAGCATCCTCAATGGATGACACTGTCATATGTGAATTACTAAGGATAACCCCAAAAACGTCAGTGACTTACTTCTAATGGGGTCCAGTATGTATCATGTGCATTCCTATTGAGAACACATATTGTAATACTATTACATTTTAGTTCGTTGTTGACTCATTGCTTGTGGATCAGTGGTAGCACCTTTGGCACACAATTGTGGAACCTGGATTTGTTCCTGGATTACACTTATGATTAGCAGGATTATTGTCATGCACAACATTATGCAGAGGCTAGATGGAGAGAGAGTTTAGTTCAGAACCTAAAGAATAAAAATTTTATTTCTTTGCAAAGGTTACAGTGTGTAATTACAATTTTGATTTGTTAAATACAAAGAAAACCACTTTCATGCTGGGGCATTTCGGGCAGTAAAAGGACTTGGGTTTAATCTCTAGGCGAGGTAAGACTTGGGCAAGTCTTGGCTAAGTTCAGGTATATTATCTAAAAAAAAAAAAAAAAAAAAAAAGAAACCTAATGTAAAGTAACTTATGGGTTGAACCCCTACCTGTTCTGTGGTTTGTTTGAAATTATGTTGTTATGATTTCATGAGTTATAACCAGACTTGTTAATTTTTGTGAAATATTAAGATTTAAGATTTCTTTTTTAACACGCTGGCCGTGTTCGAGAATACTGTACTTACTGAGGTAGATATGTAGTGTACAGCAAGAGTATTTACAGAAAACATGCTTGCACTGTTAATTGTGGTTATTTGATTTGTTTATTAAATCTTGTGGGTAATTTAGTGCTTCATTTAATCAATTTTACGAGAGAGTAGTTAAAGGTTTTGGAATATACAGTAGTTGCTCTTACCACTAAACTTCCCTTGTGGCAAAATCTGAAATCTAAATCAGATGTAAACCTGTGAATCAAGTTTAGAATAATCATAGATTAAGTTCTGAACACTTAGGAATAAAGAATGTCAGCTAGGTGGAGAGGTGTAACTGATACCAGGAGAGTTGGTATTGAGTGTAACCCTATAGTATAGTTAGGAATCAAATGAGCAGGTGTGACTGACAGGTGGCTGACTAACACTCAAGGCATGGCCCCAGTGTATGCTGTTAATCTTCACATCTAAACCACATGTTTAGGTTTTACTCCATAATTACAGGAGCAGTGCTATTGTTACAGAATAATTAGTATATAATGAAAGCAGATTGGAGAATGCAACAAAAATTTCATTACCTCTACATGCCTTACAAATTGTGTATTTGGTATAAGCACTAATTCTCTAGAATTAGAAAAGGGGGATAGAACTCAACCAAGAAATATAAAATATTCCCAGAAATGTAGCACTTGTGCCAAATTAATGGAGTTCCTTGTTTATAAAGAAGTGCAGAATGCCACTAGCATGAGCACTTGGTATTCTTTGAAGAAAGAACTTAGATATAGTTGAAATCTCAGAAGCCATAAAATGTACAGACTGGCTGTAATGGGTATATGGGCCAATGGGCAGGTAACAGCAACAGCCTGGTTGATCATGCAGTTCACAAGAAAGCCTGACCCTGGGCTAGACTGGTATCTCACAGGTGATGGGCTCAGTTCAAGGAACCGAACTTATTCTTCTCTCCCTTAGATCAGACCTGTTTGCTTCCCATTTCCCAGGTGCTGTGTGAACTCTACTGGCTTAGTGGTTCCAGTGATCATAATAATTTTCAAAATATATGAAATAAATGTCACCTTATTTTATAACAGTGTGTAGGTAGCTACTGTATATTTTGAAAAAAAAAAAATGCATGTACATAGTTCAAAGTTTTAAAGGTGAAGATCTGGTTGAACCCCTGGGAGCGAGCTTGGTCCATCTCATTAATATTTTTTAAATTATCATAATTAATGTCTCCTTATTTTCAGCATTCATAGTCCGACCATGGGGGTTGTTATGTTTGTAAGCAAGTGTGGAGTGGATGAGTGAGGACATCATATCTAGTACAGTTGTCCTCATGTATGTCACATTTTTTGTCTGTCTGTGGTCTAAACCGGAAGGAAGGTTGTGATAAGGAGCTGACAAAACCTGGACGTTCATAACTGTTAAACTATATTATATTTGAAGTTTTTAACTCGGGAAAGATTGCTAGTCTTTTCGTTTGTCTCTTGAACATGAAAAATGCCTAGTTAATCTAAATGCTCTACTTTCTGCTTCCTTTCTACTTTTTTCTCTTCCTCCTTCCTAAAGAGAAGATTTTGTTTGGATTTTTAACTTGGACGGGTAGCCACCCAGAATAACCCATTAAAGTCAGTGTGTCATCTGGGGGGACTGTCATATTTTCATTGGGATCCATTTAGTCTCGTCCCCCAGGATGCGACCAACGACAGACGACTAACATCCAAGTTCCTACTCCCTGTTAGGTGAATAGGGGGAGCACCCATGCCAGGGATCGATCCTGGATCCTCAGTGGGTGAGTTGAGGATGCTATCAACCAAGTAACTTCCTTTTCTTCCTTTGTTTCTTCTCCCTTCTCCTGTGCTTTCCAAAATTTTGTACTTAGTAATATAGTTATCTTCTACAGGAGGATTTGCCTTAGTTTTCTTGGTAAAAGGCAGCAGCGGAGTTCGCTATGCTCTCAAGCGACTCTATGTCAACAACGAACATGATCTGGAGGTGGCCCGAAATGAGATCAACATCGCTGTAAGTTGGCACATTAGCCACTGCTTTTTGTACATCAGTGCAAGTTGCATATACATGTATGGGAATGATTGTTCAAAATTGTTAGCTGCACAACAATGTATAAGATGCAGTTGACATAGTTAAGTTTGTGACGTTTGCCATTTTGCCCACTGGGGGCTTTTTTAATCCAATATATTACATGGAAACAAAATATATAGAGGACAGATGTCAGGTGGAGTAAAGTTAGGTACCACTGTGGGAGTTGCTTGTCTGTGTAGTGTGTGGTGGGGTAGAATTGGGACATCCGGCTCTTGAAATTATTATGCAGATTACAAGTAAAGCTGAGAAAAAATAAACATCCTGTATCCTTCCAGCTGTTACTTGAAATGAGTGTGTTATGTGTACAGGTTACTAGTTTCAGACACACTTTCAGTGTACTACACAGGATTTTTAGCTCTAGTTAGCTAATGCTTCACATACAGTAGAGCAGATGTGGAATGGATTTAAAAATGGAACTCTGGAAAGTGATTGGGACATTATACCAGGTAAGGAAAAGAGAGGGAATGAAAACCCCCATGACACAACTACTGTACTGTAGTCAGTATCATGGGGGAGGGGGAGGATCATATTGTTTATAAAATATAAATGGAGTACATCCAAATCATGCTAACTGTATACAATTGCAGAAATAAAAAAGGTAATAATAAGAGGGTAAGCAGTTTGAAATAGGATTATCCACAATGTTTGACTAATCTAATGAATTCATCAAATACAGTTTGCTTAGGGTAAGGAATTAAAAGTTGAGCATCTACACTGCAAACTGAATTGCTCGTCATTCTAATCATGTTAAGGTTAACTTAAGACAGATAACAAAAAAAGGCACAATACCGTGACTGGAACGATACACAAATAACTCGCACATAAAAGAGAGAAGCTTACGACGACGTTTCGGTCCGACTTGGACCATTGACAAAGTCGCACTGTGTGACTTTGTCAATGGTCCAAGTCGGACCGAAACGTCGTCGTAAGCTTCTCTCTTTTATGTGCGGGTTATTTGTGTATTTAACTTAAGACACTGAACTTGACTCTATGATTATTACTTGTTCAGTGTCATAACGGGGGGCTCTTGACTTACATAATGACAAACATGCTCATTGGAGAAGCCAGGCTTAGATAATCAAAAATTTGGGATAAAGGAATTAATGTACAATTATTATGGATTCTGTCACACATTACTCTTTCATAATAAAGTTGATATGTTAGCTAAAAAAAGGTTTCCTGAAGGAAAATGTAGAATATAACTTTGGCATGTCTGATTCTAGTATTGAATAATATTAGGGGAGAACTAAATAATAAAACTGAATGTTATAGGAATGCAGCTAGAATCCTCAGTAGATCTGTAACCCACTATGATAACATGAATGTAGACAGACTGACATGTTGCAGTAGCTAGGCTGAGGCTAGACCCTTTGAAGGGTCATCTGGACTATAATGCCAGTGGCCATCTGGCAAAACAGTGGTTGAATAAATGATAGTGAAAGTATTTTCTTCCTTGTCAGGTCACCCTACCTTGGAAAATGGCTGAAGTGTTAAAGAAAAAAAAAACTATTTTTAAAGAATGGTAATTCTCCTTGCACAATTTTCCATGCTGGCTGGAAGTCAAGAGGGAATAAAGGGTGGAGAAAGATCCTTCTGTTATACTGTTATACTTTAGAGAAACTAAGTAGTTGCTAAATTATAGTTAGTTTTCATCAGAAAGCCCAGATACAGACTGCAAGGTTTTCTGTCGTCAGTTGAATAATGCTCATGGCCTCAGTACTTGTATAATCTGTTACAGGTTCTCACATGAACTTTATTACTGGATACTGACTGATAATCAGAAAATATTAGTAAAAATCTTGGTGCTTATATTTAGCCTTATTTAATTATGGTTTAATTAGCCTTTATAGACTAGTAAAATAATGAAGTTGTGAAACACATACAGAATAAGTCAAATTTATTTTTGTAGAAAATGCTTAATGGTCCAAGGACAGTGGTGGGCTATGTTGACTCTGGCGTCACACACATTGGAAGCGGCGTCTACGAGGTCCTCCTCCTTATGACCTACTGTAGAAAACACCTCCTCCACCTAATGAACGACAGGTCAGTATTTTCCAGCTTTGACTATCATCTTAAGAGTTCTTGAGGTTGGGCCATAATGCAGTACTCTAGTTCTGTGTCCTGAGAGGTATATAAAACAACATAAACACACAATGAGCACTTTTTGACATAAATGTTAAATACTAAATAAACTTGATGAACAGGCAAAACAGTATCTAGATATACATGTACATTGTTTGGTAGTTAAGTCACATGAGAATACTGTTAACTTTTGAGCCAGAATTTGTACCCTGACTGTGGCTAATTATTTAAAAATACAATACTGTGTAATATCTTATTTTTCTGTCTTAGTTGACACACACATGCTGCACTTTTTGCTGTGAAGTCTCTAAATGGCACTCTGTTGAAAACCTATTCTGCTATAGAAATACTGTATCATGCTGGCTAATACAATACTTCCAAGCTTTGCATTCTCTCATTTATATATTTTTTTTGAGATTTATTACTTCTTGAATGCAATCTAGTCAAAATACTGTACATATGTCCCTTTGAATATGTAAATTGGCTATGAATAAACTCTTAACTCTAGCTTAAGTTTCAACCATTTGTATGAGGATCATGTGCATAGTATACTTGTATCTTGCAGGATCAACTCAGGCTTAACAGAGGCTGAGGTCCTCAAAATTTTCTGTGATGTATGTGATGCAGTGTCTAGGCTGCATCATGTCAACCCTCCCATCATTCATCGAGATTTAAAGGCAAGATTTATTTCTGGGTAGTGAAAACATTTTATATGTAGCATATACAGTACAGTACAGTACAGTGATTATGTATGAGTGATGGTGAAAGTGTTGAATGATGATGAAAGTATTTTTTCTTTCTTTCTGGGTTTTTCTTTCTTTTTAGGCCACCCTGTCTTGGTGGGAAACGGCCGAGGTTTAAAAAAAAAAATGTACAGTACTTTGTTAGTTATCATAGGTTGAAGCTAAAGTGGAATTTTCATTTTGGTTTATTGTGATAATTAATGCACATGCAACTATTAATTAATTGGAAATATATTCAAGTTTTATATTGTATAGACAGATTTGCTTCTTATTTTATTAACATTGTAGTAGTGAGAAATAATGATTAATTTATTTTTAAACTTTGCGGCTTGTATTATCAGTACTGCATTTCTTTGCAGGTTGAAAATATTCTTATTAGTAGTGAAGGCAACTATGTTTTATGTGACTTTGGTTCTGCTACTGCCCGAGTGTTGTGTGGGACGATCGACGGCATATCAAGAGTCGAGGAAGAAATTCAGAGGTACACGACACTGGCATACCGTGCTCCTGAGATGATTGACTTGTACCTTGGTCGACCCATCACCACAAAGTCAGATATATGGGTGGGTTTTTTTACTCTGCTGTTTGAGATGATCATATTTATTGGATACCTTATAATGTTGTGTAAAAATTTTAGTCATTTTTCTTTGGATCTTTTCAAAACCACTTGTCTCCACTCTCCTTGATCATTGTAGCACGTACAACAGTTGCTTTCACATACCCATTGGATGCTTAAGCCTCTGCCGAAGCCTTCACACACCTTCTCCAACCCTTCATGGGACTTTTACACCCTTCCTCCAAGATTTGTATGCTTTCTTTGTCATCTAATTTGGCTTTGTCCTCTCTAAATGGCTAAACCACTTCAACAGCGCCTCCTCTTCTCTATTAATAATGACTTTTATAACCACACACCATCTTTTTGTTTCTACACTGAATTATTTTTACAATTTTCACACCATATGATGCTCTAAAACATGACATCACTGCTACTAGCCTCTTTGCTGTAATGTTTAAAGTCTGTTCCTTTCATTCATGTAAAAGGTCTTTCTTCATACAGACACGTCAGTCTCCCACCTGCCTTTTAACCCTTCATCATTACTTCGGTTAACCTTGTCTTGCATAGACCTACCTTCTGACACGTCCATTTCCAAATATCAGCATACATTTACTTACTTTATTCTCCCTCCCTCTCTCATATCTGATATTCAATTTTTCATGGCTTAAACTTTTGTTACTCTAATTTTACCTTGCTCTTTTTTGTGTTCACCTTTTATTTCCTTCTATGCATTCCCAGATTTGTCCAGCAACATTTGCTGGACAAATCTGGTTGAATATTCTGGGCAACCTATCTAGACTTGTCATTGGCAAAGAGCAACTGTGACTAGTCTCATTTTGTAACAAATCATTATCTTTTAATCTCACACCTCTCACCACTAACCTAGCATTTTCTGCTTTTACAGCTACATGTATTAATACAGTGTACTAAATAGCCATTATTACATCACAAATCCCTGCCTAAGGCCTTTTTACTGGAATATGGTTCCCTTTTCATCTCTATTTACCCTATAAACTGAATGACTTAATTACATTTATTCATTTATTTACACAATAATGCATTTTATTTGTGAGTAAAAAAATTTTAAGTTGGATATCATAAAATTTTTAAGGTTGTTTGTGTACCTTACATGTATAGCATTTTGAATTGGATGACTGTTTATGTAGAACATTTTTGTTTGATATAGACCAGCTATTGTGCTTGGTAATTGTTCTTGTCATTTTAGCACTGATGATGGAGTTTGATACTCCAGAACATTTGGATGATAGATGAAGATATTTGGATATTAAATGAACGTGTTTACCACAGCTTTGGTGTTTCTATTCCTTATTCGTCTTCGAGTCCCTCAAGGAAAATCTCTTGGAAGTTTTATTATTGTTTTGTGTTCATGTAAACAATGCATTAATTTATTTCTCTTGTTTCAGGCCTTGGGGTGTATGTTATACAAGCTTTGTTTCTTTACTTTACCATTTGCCGAGAGTCCGCTGGCTATCTCTTCAGGGAATTTTAATATCCCAGATAACGCAAGATTCTCCAAGCACTTACAAGCACTTATGCGTAAGTACTGGTACAGGCCATCCCACTTGTTGCAACACATCAACAAGATGTAGCCTTCTCCTCTTCATAGGAGTATGGATAATTACAGTGGAACCTCTACTTACTTACGAGTTTAATCCATTCCATGGCCTTGCTCGCAACTGGATTTGCTCATTTGCAGAGTCAATTTTCCTCATTTAAATTAATTGAAATGGAAATAATTCATTCCAGTGGAATTCCAGGCATGAGAAAATACTTTAATAATTTTCCTAATATCAACTCTACAGTTTATTTATCACAATTCATGTAATATGACATAATAAACAATATTAATAACATAGAAACATGATATATACACTAGAATGAATAAAATACATGTCATTAGTTATGTGGCTAGTGGTGGTGACAGCAGCCATTGTTGTTGGGATTTATAGGGCCACCACAGCGGCCATTCCTGCTCCTGACTACATGTGTAGAGAACCTAGGATAACCCAGAAAAGTCAGACAGAGTGACTTATAAGTGCTACACTCTTAATGCTTCACTTAATTGCTACACTCTTAATGCTACACTTAATTGCTACACTCTTAATGCTACACTTATTTGCTACACTCTTAATGCTACACTTTGCCACTGCTGCTTCATGTTGTCTGCTACTGCTACCTCATGATGTCTGCCACTGCTGCTTCATGTTGTCTGTCACTGCTGCTTCATGTTGTCTGTCACTGCTGTTTCATGTTGTCTGCCACTGCTACTTCATGTCTGCCACTGCTGCTTCATGTTGTCTGTTACTGCTGCTTCATGTTGTCTGCCACTGCTACTTCATGTTGTCTGTCACTGCTGCTTCATGTTGTCTGTCACTGCTACTTCATGTTGTCTGCCACTGCTGCTTCATGTTGTCTGTCACTGCTACTTCATGTTGTCTGCCACTGCTGCTTCATGTTGTCTGCCACTGCTGTTTCATGTTGTCTGCCACTGCTACTTCATGTTGTCTGCCACTGCTGCTTCATGCTGTCTGCCACTGCTGCTTCATGCTGTCTGCCACTGCTGCTTCATGTTGTCTGCCACTGCTGCTTCATGCTGTTTGCCACTGCTGCTTCATGTTGTCTGCCACTGCTGTTTCATGTTGTCTGCCACTGCTGCTTCATGTTGTCTGCCACTGCTGCTTCATGCTGTCTGCCACTGTCGCCAAAGAATCGAACATTTCTGCTATTTTGAGCTCAATTTCAAGGTACTTTTCATCGTGAAACCAATTAAAATCATATTTATTTGTGTAGTAGACCTTCCATTCTATCACAAGAGACCAAATAAAACTAGAACACAACTGTAAAAACCATACAAAAATATACCGCTAAGGGGAGGCTAATGGCTGAGAAGTGAACTCCGTTATTTATGGTCTGATTTCTTTCATTTTTGGTATACGTTAAGAAGAAACCATACCACGGGCGGGGATAGAACCCGCGATCAGTCTCAAAACTCCAGACCAGCTAGCCACAATAAGTTTTGTCCAACTAGGTATATTTCTACACCATAGGAAGGTTAGCATAGGCACCACTGTGACCACAAATGCAAGTTTTTACAGACAGTGGTCACAGTGGTGCCTATGCTAACCTTCCTATGGTGTAGAAATATACCTAGTTGGACGAATCTTATTGTGGCTAGCTGGTCCAGTGGCTAACGCGACGGTCTGGAATTTTGAGACTCTGATCGCGGGTTCTATCCCCACCCGTGGTATGGTTTATTTGCAATCGTGTCATTACGATTTCGTGAGTCAGATACGTTAAGAAGCATCTTTTCATCATACGTTGCCCAAGTTTCAATAAGATAGTCCAACAAACAACTGAGATCCAATTCCCTAGGTCAAGAGCAAGAGCCCCCTCACCAGTCTCAATTAACCTCCCTTGAGGCCTGCTCGCATCTGGAAATTTTGCTCACGTCCAGAAGCAAAAAATCGACCGAGCAGCTGCTCATATCTGGAAAAACTCGCACGTGGATGCACTTGTAAGTAGAGGTTCCACTGTATTAACATTAATAAAATTGTTTTGTACATTCACCTTGTTTGTTTTCAAAGCTTTATTTTTTTTTTTTCAACAGTTAGTAGTGGGTCACCTAAAAGATCTTAGATTAGGTGAATTAAGATGCAGCATATTTTACATGACTGTACTTAAATTTTAGCATTATTATGTTGCTAGGTTTGTTTTGGCACAAAATTATTAATTGACATCAAAATTTTGCATAACACTTAACTTCTGTGTGGGGAGAGGAATCTTCAGGTGATCTGCTGTTAGTCTCTGAGGGCATTTTAATCTCTACTGGTAAATACTAATTAAATACTGGCTACTAGGATGTCTGAAGTAATGTCTAGTTTCCTTCTCCTGTAGGTTACATGTTGGACCCAGATCCAGACACACGGCCAGACATTTACCAGGTGGCCAGCCTCACATTCAAGTTAGCTGGAAGAGAATGTCCTGTGAGAAATGTCAATGTAAGTTCTAAAATTGTGTTGTGGCAAGATAAAATTAAGAGGGGTGGGTGTGCCTGGCTAGCATGTCCGTGGTGACTGCTTAAACCCCTGTGGGTAGGAATAACCTGGTTAATTAAGCAAGCACTGGATAAACCTCCTGACTTTATCAGTTTTTTAAGCATCCTTGAAGGGATTGAAGGTTGCTGGTGAGGCTTGCTTTTAGCCATGGTATTATAAATTATATTTGTGTTTTGAAGGTCTCCTTGTTCAGTGTGTTAGGATGAGTAAATATATTTTTTTTTTAATTTATAGGGGTTGAGATATAGCTCATGAGTCTACCTTTTAACTTTTGACTGACCAATATAAATTAGTTGTTATATTTGTTTGATTCCCTGTATGTCTAGCTAATTCTGCTTTTCCATTACTCTTTTGTTGAAATGTTTCATGATGTTTGTATGACTTAGCTGGGTTTGCAAATAGGGTTCAGTACTTCTTAATCAAATGCAATATACAACACCTAATCCCCCACCAATATATATTCACACAAAAAAAACACAAATGATACCATCCTAAATTTACCAGACATTTTCTACACAGAATTTGATTAGAATAAATATTCATTTGGACTATTTATTTCCTGAAAAAAAAACCCAGTTTTGAAGCCACTGAACAAAGAAAAAAAGGAACTTATACTAAAACATTTCAGACTAAAAATTCACTCGTGCTATTTTATCCACTCTTTTTTCCAGTGAGACGCATTAAACATGGCTATATGTCTCTTTACCCATAAATATTGGTGTTCCTAATATGACAGCATTCTTGGCCTTCATTTTCCTAAATCAGTGACTTAACAAATCCCATTAACAACACAAAGAATATAGATTTCCCTTGCTTTCTGTGGGATTGCTTTATGCAAATTTGCTATTCTGTAATGTCTCATTTCTATCAGTAATTATCTATACGTGATATACGTTTACCACATTTAATTGATGCTCGCAAAGTGTACTGTAGGTTCTTGTGTAGAGTTAAGTGCTGGTGGGATGATTGAATTCAATACAGAAGACAATGGCCTGGAATGCATATATCAGAAAGCAAAGGGTACCTGTACTCTTTGTTGATGACTACTTTCTCTCCACACTGACCTTACTGCTTTGATACTTGGGCATACAGTTGGAAAATTATTCAATCCTGTTAAATACAAGATGGCATGCAAATCTTAGATTTGTACTCACATTCAGTATTCACTTATTTTTAATTTCCTGTCTGCTTCATAATAATTCTTAATACTGTAACATTTAGTTTTCAAGCCATTGGGTTGATAATCAGATTTGGTATGAACATGCACTTCAATTTGACCTCAGAATGTGACAGTTCCATCTCTGGACCAACTGTGTCAAATTGTAAGTGAGCGGGAGCAACAGTCATCAGTGAAGTTGAATCGTGTAGCCACAGGACCTGTGATAGAGAGTACATCAGTGGCTCCCCGGCAGCGACCAAAGGCTTCCCAACACCCTTCTTCCCTTACTGCTGCTGTGGGTGCTCTTCCTCTAGGTTTACCACTTCAGAGCACGCAAGGTTAGTTACCCACACGTTAGCTAATGTACTAGAAAGGGGATTTTGTGCATATTCAGTGTATCCAATAATACTTTTTGTATCTACAGTAGTTTAATTTCTTAATGGAGTGTCTACAGTGACAGTGGCATTCTGTAACTTGTTCATACAACTTAAGTTTACATTACTGGAATATGTATCAGGGTTGAAAATGTATCAGTGCATGTCCTGTAAAGTGTAAAACAGAATTATGCTCACTAGGGGGCTACCCAGTTAGATTTTTTTTTTTTAACACTTTGGCTATCTCCAACCAAGGTAGGAAGACTTGACAAAGAAGAAAACACTTTTACTCCCCCAATCACTGTCTTGCCAGAAGTGTGCTAACACCATGCTTCATATGATCCTCCATTTGAATTTCATTTCCCAAATTATGCCTAATATTGCTAATAACCAACATAGTAGAAGTAAGAGTAAAAATTGGGGCAGTTGCAACGAGAGCATCAGTATCCACAATTTTTTTATTCTTTTCTAATGAAGCTGTGACAAGCTGGAAGTTGGAAAGGCAACTGGGATGAATGAAATTATGCTTGAAATGATGAAGGAAGATGGGAATAATGTTGGAATGGGTTATACAGTGTGTACTCACCTAGTTGTACTCACCTAGTTGAGGTTGCAGGGGTCGAGTCCAAGCTCCTGGCCCCGCCTCTTCACTGGTCGCCACTAGGTCACTCTCCCTGAACCATGAGCTTTATCGTACCTCTGCTTAAAGCTATGTATGGATCCTGCCTCCACTACATCGCTTCCCAAACTATTCCACTTCCTGACTACTCTATGGCTGAAGAAATACTTCCTAACATCCCTTTGATTCATCTGTGTCTTCAGCTTCCAACTGTGTCCCCGTGTTGCTGTATCCAGTCTCTGGAACATCCTGTCTTTGTCCACCTTGTCAATTCCTCTCAGTATTTTGTAAGTCGTTATCATGTCCCCCCTATCTCTCCTGTCCTCCAGTGTCGTCAGGTTGATTTCCCTTAACCTCTCCTCATAGGACATACCTCTTAACTCTGGGACTAGTCTTGTTGCAAACCTTTCTCTAGTTTCTTTACATGCTTGGCTAGGTGTGGGTTCCAAACTGGTGCCGCATACTCTAATATGGGTCTAACGTACACGGTGTACAGGGTCCTGAACGATTCCTTATGTGTGTGTGTGTGTGTGTGTGAAAGCAAGGAAAGTGCATAAGGATTAGCAGAAATATGTGTCCTTTCTGTATCAAGTGAGGGACGAGTGTGTGTATGTATTAGATTGGCAAAGGAAAAACTCCACTAAAATACGAATTGAAATCAGGGGTTTTAAATAGAGTTAGAGCTAAAGAAAGAGTAGCAATAAAGTTGAAGGATAAGTTATGGCAGGAAAAGAGGGAATATAAATGTATAAATTCAAGGATTATGTGGAGTAAAATAAGGGTTGGATGTGAAAAGTGGGTTATAGTAAGCATTTATGCACCTGGAGAAGAGAGAAGTGTAGAGGAGATAGAGAGATTTTGGGAAATGTTGAGTGAGTGTGTGGGGAGTTTTGAACCAAGTGTGAGAGTACTTGTGGTTGGGGATTTCAATGCTAAAGTGGGTAAAAATGTTGTGGAGGAAGTAGTAGGTAAATTTGGGGTGCCAGGGGTAAATGTAAATGGGGAGCCTCTAATTGAGCTATGTGTAGAAAGAGTTTTGGTAATAAGTAATACCTGTTTTATGAAAAAGAGGATAAATAAGTATACAAGATATGATAGAGCACGTAATGAAAGTAGTTTGTTAGATTATGTGTTGGTGGATAAAAGGTTGATGGGTAGGCTTCAGGATATACGTGTTTATAGAGGGGCAACCGATATATCGAATCATTATTTAGTTGTAGCTACAGTTAGAGTAAGAGGTAGATGGGACAAAAGGAAAATGGCAACAGCAAGTAAGAGAGAGGTGAAAGTGTATAAACTAAGGGAGGAAGAAGTTAGGGTGAGATATAAGCAGGTATTGGCAGAAAGGTGGGCTGGTGCAAGTATGAGTAGTGGGGGAGTTGAAGAGGGTTGGAATAGTTTTAAAAATGCAATATTAGAATGTGGAGCAGAAGTTTTTGGCTATAGGAGGGTGGGGGCAGGAGGAAAGAGGAGTGATTGGTGGAATGATGAAGTAAAGAGTGTGATAAAGGAGAGAAAGGTAGCTTATGAGAGGTTTTTACAAAGCAGAAGTGTTATAAGAAGAGCAGAGTATATGGAGAGTAAAAGAAAGGTGAAGAGAGTGGTGAGAGAGTACAAAAGAAGAGCAGATGATAGAGTGGGAGAGGCACTGTCAAGAAATTTTGATGAAAATAGGAAAAAATTTTGGAGTGAGATAAACAAATTAAGAAAGCCTAAGGAACGAATGGATTTGTCAGTTAAAAACAGAGTAGGGGAGTTAGTAGATGGGGAGATGGAGGTATTAGGTAGATGGCGAGAATATTTTGAGGAACTTTTCAATGTTGATGAAGAAAGGGAGGCGGTAATTTCATGCACTGGCCAGGGAGGTATACCATCTTTTAGGAATAAAGAAGAGCAGGATGTGAATTTGGGGGAGGTGTGTGAGGCATTACGTAGAATGAAAGGTGGTAAAGCAGCTGGAACTGACGGGATCATGAAAGATATGTTAAAAGCAGGGGGGGGATATAGTGTTGGAGTGGTTGGTATTTTTGTTTAATAAATGTATGAAAGAGGGGAAGGTACCTAGGTATTGGCAGAGAGCATGTATACAGTGGACCCCTGCATAACAATATTAATCCGTGCCTGAGAGCTCATTGTTATGCAAAATTATCGTTATGCTAATGAATTTTCCCCATAAGAAATAATGGAAATCAAATTAATCCGTGCAAGACACCCCAAAGTATGAAAAAAAAAAATTTTTACCACATGAAATATTAATTTTAATACACACAAACTGAAAAAGGCATGCACAGTTACATGACACTTACCTTTATTGAAGATCTGGTGATGATTGATGGGATGGGAGGAGGAGAGAGTCTTAGTGTTTAGAAGAGGAATCCCCTTCCATTAAGACTTGAGGTGTCAAGTCCTTTTCTGGGGTTACTTCCCTTCTTCTTTTAATGCCACTAGGACCAGCTTCAGAGTCACTGGACTTCTGTCACACAACATATCTGTCCATAGTGGCCTGTACCTCTCGTTCCTTTATGACTTCCCTAAAGTGTTTCACATCAGTGTCAGTGTAATAGTCACCAGCACGGCCTGCAATAGCTGTGTTAGGGTGATTGTCATCAAAAAAGGTTTGCACTTTAAGCCACATTCCACACATTTCCTTAATCTTTGAAGTAGGCAACTTCTTCAATTTCTCTCTCCCCTCCTCCGAACTAGTTTCCTCAGGTCTGGCCTCTTGCTGTTGAAGTTGATCTAGCAGCTCATCAGTGGTTAGTTCTTCATTGTCCTCCTCCACCAACTCTTCCACATCATCCCCACTAACCTCCAACCCCAAGGACTTTCCCAATGCCACAATGGATTCCTCAACTGGCATACTCCTCTCAGGGTTAGCCTGAAACCCTTCAAAATCCCTTTGGTCTACACATTCTGGCCACAGTTTCTTCCAAGCAGAGTTCAAGGTCCTCTTAGTCACTCCCTCCCAAGCCTTACCTATAAGGTTTACACAATTGAGGATATTAAAGTGATCTCTCCAAAACTCTCTTAGAGTCAATTGAGTTTCTGAGGTCACTACAAAGCACCTTTCAAACAGAGCTTTTGTGTACAGTTTTTTGAAGTTTGCAATAACCTGCTGGTCCATGGGCTGCAGGAGAGGAGTGGTATTAGGAGGCAAAAACTTCACCTTAATGAAGCTCATGTTCCCATAAAGTCGCTCTGCCATGTCTGTAGGATGACCAGGGGCATTGTCTAACACCAGGAGGCACTTAAGGTCTAATTTCTTTTCAGTTAGGTAATCTTTCACATTGGGGGCAAATGCATGGTGTAACCAGTTATAGAAAAAGTCCCTAGTGACCCATGCCTTACTGTTTGCCCTCCACAGCGCACACAAATTAGCCTTGAGGAGTTTACCTGGAGAGAGTTTCGGGGGTCAACGCCCCCGCGGCCCGGTCTGTGACCAGGCCTGAACGCTCTGGGAGTTTCTGAGTGATACACTAATAAAGGCTTCACTTTGCAATCACCACTAGCATTGGAACACATCAACAGAGTAAGCCTGTCTTTCATAGGCTTATGTCCTGGGAGTGCCTTTTCCTCCTGAGTAATGTAGGTCCTGCTTGGCATTTTCTTCCAAAACAGGCCTGTTTCATCACAATTAAACACTTGTTCAGGTTTCAGTCCTACACTGTCTATGTACTCCTTGAATTCCTGCACATATTTTTCAGCTGCTTTGTGGTCCGAACTGGCAGCCTCACCATGCCTTATCACACTATGTATGCCACTATGCTTCTTAAATCTCTCAAACCAACCTTTGCTGGCCTTAAATTCACTCACATCATCACTAGTTGCAGGCATTTTTTTTAATTAAATCCTCATGCAACTTCCTAGCCTTTTCACTTATGATCACTTGAGAGATGCTATCTCCTGCTATCTGTTTTTCATTTATCCATACCAATAAGAGTCTCTCAACATCTTCCATCACTTGCGATCTCTGTTTCAAAAACACAGTTGAACCTTTGGCAAGAACAGCTTGCTTGATTGCCGTTTTGTTGCCCACAATAGTAGCGATGGTTGATTGGGGTTTATTATACAACCTGGCCAGCTCGGAGACACGCACTCCACTTTCATACTTAGCAATGATCTCTTTCTTCATCTCTATAGTAATTCTCACCCTTATTGCTGTAGGGTTGGCACTAGAAGCTTTCTTGGGGCCCATGGTCACTTATTTTGCAGATAAAATCACCAAAAACACTGTAATAATACGAAATGTTCCGATTGTATGCTTGGATGTTACTGCGGAGGCTGGCTGGTAAACAATGCCACCGGCGGAGCATGTGAGGCTGGCTCAGGCTGCACATTAGATGCGTCTCGGACGAACAGCGTTAAGCGGGTTTTTAGCGGTATGCGAGGCAAAATCTTAGCGATAAAATGTATCGGTATGCGGATTTAACGTTATGTAATGCCAACGGTATGCGGGGGTCCACTGTAGTTCCTTTATATAAAGGGAAGGGGGACACAGGAGATTGTAAAAATTATGGGGGAATAAGTTTACTGAGTATACCAGGAAAAGTGTTCGGTAGGGTTATTATTGAAAGAACTAGAGGTAAGATAGAGAGTAGGATTGCGGATGAACAAGGAGGCTTTAGAGTGTGTAGGGAATGTGTAGATCAAGTGTTAACATTGAAGCATATATGTGAACAGTATTTAGATAAAGGTAGGGAAGTTTTCATTGAATTTATGGACTTAGAAAAGGCATATGATAGAGTGGATAGGGGAGCAATGTGGCAGAGGTTTCAAGCTTATGGAATAGGTAGTAAGTTACTAAATGCCATAAAGAGTTTTTATGAGGATAGTGAGGCTCAGGTTAGGGTGTCTAGAAGAGAGTGAGATTACTTCCCTGTAAAAGTAGGTCTTAGACAGGGATGTGTAATGTCACCATGCTTGTTAAATATATGTATAGATAGGGTTGTAAAAGAAGTAAATGCTAGGGTTTGTAGATGAATGGTTCAGAGAACCGACATCTTGATAAATTAGACACATATGCAACTCTTGGGTATCTTTATTGAGGAAACGTTTCGCCACACAGTGGTAATCAGTCCCTCAAGGTTGAGGGACTGATTACCTCATTCTCCTCCTGTTCTTCAAGATTCTCCTTTGTATGATGAAGCCACTGTGTGGCAAAACGTTTCCTCAATAAAGATACCCAAGAGTTGCACATGTGTCTAATTTATCAAATGCTAGGGTGTTGGGGAGAGGGGTGGGATTAATTTATGGGGAATCGAATACAAAATGGGAGTTGACACAGCTACTTTTTGCTGATGATACTGTGCTTATGAGAGAGTCTAAAGAAAAGTTGCAAAGGTTAGTGGACAAGTTTGGGAGTGTGTGTAAAGGTAGAAAGTTGAAAGCGGACATAGATAAGGGTAAGGTGATGAGGGTATCAAACGATTCAGATATTTGGGAGTTGGACAGGTATATATAGGCAGGAAGTGGTGGTAGTAGTAGTTGTGGTAGTACTAGTAGTAGTGGTAGTAGTAGTAGTAGTAGTGGTAGTAGTAGTAGTAGTAGTGGTAGTAGTAGTAGTAGTAGTGGTAGTAGTAATGGTAGTGATAGTGGTGGTGGTAGTGGTAGTGGTAATAGTAGTAGTAGTAGTAGTAGTAGTAGTAGTGGCGGCGGCAGAAGTGGAAGGAAGTAGTGGTGGGGAAGTAAGGAGGAGGAGCCAGTCAAATACTAAGAAAGGGGAGCACTGCAAGGAAGCTAAATGCCTACAGAGGGAGAGCAAGAACACAGAGGGGGGGGGGATAATAAAATAAATAATGAAGGAACAGAAACACAAGGCAGAAGAAAGAAAGACAACCCAGAAGAGACAAAGGAAAGAGTAAAGGGGAAGAGGGAGAAGAAGAAAAAGGAGGAATCGGGTTAAGTCACGGGTGTTCTGAAGTTTGGAGCATTTTACAATGTAGTGGGAGAGGAAGGCATCTACAGAGACGAAGCCAGGGCTTGTCAGCGGATGGGTTTATGAAGGATGAGGTTAACCATAGAATTGATGAAAGAAAAAAGGTGAGTGGTGCATTGAGGTATATGTGGAGACAAAAAACATTATCTATGGAGGCAAAGAAGGGAATGTATGAAAATATAGTGGTACAGTATTTAGATAAAGGCTAAAGAGGTCTTTGTGGCATTTATGGATTTGGAAAAGGCATATGACAGGGTGGATAGGGGGGCAATGTGGCAGATGTTGCAGGTGTATGGTGTAGGAGGTAGGTTACTGAAAGCAGTGAAGAGTTTTTACGAGGATAGTGAGGCTCAAGTTAGAGTATGTAGGAAAGAGGGAAATTATTTCCCAGTAAAAGTAGGCCTTTTAGACAAGGTTGTTATGTCCCCAGGGTTGTTTAAAATTTATAGATGGGGTTTAAGGAATAAATGCGAGGGTTTTGACAAGAGGGGGGGTTTTTAAAATAAAGAATCACACATAAAGTGGGAGTTGCACAGTTGCTCTTTGTGTGACACTGTGTTTTGGGAGATTCTGAAAGAATTTGCAGAGATTGGTGGGGAATTTTTGGTAGGTGTGCAAAAAAAAGAAAATTAAAAAAGTGAATCGGGAAAGAAAAGGTTTGAGGATAAAAAAAAGATTAGGTGATGAAAGAGGGGATATCGATTGGAGGGAAGAGGATGGGGAGGTGAATGTATTAAAATTTTTGGGGAAATGGCGTGTCAGCGGGGGTCAGAAAGATGGGGTAATCATAAAATTTGAGGGGGGGAAAAGGGTGAGGGGTGCACTTAGGAGTTTGTGGGGGAAAAGAAACTTTGTCCTTGGGGGAAAAGGGGGAATGTATGGAGTATAGTTTTACCCCTCTTATATGGGTGTGAAGCATGGGGGATGAAGTTGCAGCGAGGGAAAAACCTGGAGGCGTGGAGATGTCGGGTTGGGTAAATGGTGGTGTGAATATAAAAAAAAAGGGAATTTATTTTTGGAAAAGTTAGGAGGAGGTGCGGGATTACCAAAACTGTTGCCCCAAGGGCTGAGGAAAGGGTTGTTGAGTGGTTGGAAAAGTAGAGAGAATGGAGCGAAACAAGTGACTTCAAAGTGTATCGTCTGTAGTGGAAGGAAGGGGGGGTGGGGTTTGGCCTGGAAAGGGGAGGGGGGGTAAAGGGGTTTTTTGTGTGCGGGGGGTTGGATTTCCCAGCAGGCTTGCAAGCGTGTTTGTAGGGTGAAGGGAGACAAATGGTTTTTTTTAATATTGACGTGCTGTTGGAGTTAAAGCAAAGAAAACATTAGAAGGGTTCGGGAAACGGCAGGCCGGCTTGGCCCTGGAGGGGGAAAAGTACAGTCCTGCATTCGAAGGAGGGGGGTTAATGTTGCATTTTAAAAATTAGGTAAGCACCCTTTGGAAAGCAGTGAGGGAGTAAATTTGATTGGTAAAAAGTTTTTTTTTTGGGCCCACCCTGCCTTGGTGGGAATGGCCCAGTGTGATAATAATAAAAAAAAAAAACTTCTCATATGGGTGTGAATTGGGGTTGTAAAGTGCAGGAGGGGGGCGGGGAGCATGGAGTTTTCCCTTTTTAAAGGTCATGAGTAATTTATGCGGGAATTAGGAGTGTGGAAATTAGGAGAAGGTGTGGTGTTAATAAAATATTAGTCAAAGGCTGAAGGGGGTTGTTGGGGCTTTGGTCTTTTGAGAGAATGGATCAAAGTAGAATGACAGGAGAGCATATAAATCGTAGGGAAGGAAGGCGGGGTTTGGGTCATCCTCAAAAGGGTTGGAGGGGGGGGATAAGGAGGTTTTGGGGGTGAAGGGCTTGATTCCGAAAGCGTGTGTGATGTGTTTGAAGTTGTGAACGGAGACAAATTTTTTTTGGGATCCGAGAGTGTTGGAGTGTGGCAGGGAAAATACTTAGTGAAGGGATTCGGGAAAAAGGTTATTTTATATAGCCGGATTTGGGTAGGAAAGGGGAAGTAAAAATGCTTACCTTTAAAGGAGGGGTTTGGGGATTTTGGCAGTTTGGAGGGAATGTTTATATTTATATGTTTTTAAAAAACCGTTGTATCTGTGGCCTCGCAATGATGATTATGTATGGTGAGGTGAGGGGTGAAAAGTGTTCATGAGTGAAAGTATTTTTATTTCGGGATTTTCTTTTTTTTTGGGGTCCCCCCTGCCTGGTGGGAGACGTCCGACTTGTTGAAAAAAAAAAAAAAAATTGTATATTTTGGCATGGCCTATGCAAGAATTCATTTTTTCTGTACTTTTTCCAATCCCCTGGCCCCATTTTTTCTCAAATTGAAATTTTAAATAAAAAAATATTTGTTTGCTTGAAAATCGTCTCATGCTTAAAAGAATCCCTTTTAATTTTTTTTTTGAAAAACCAAATTTTTTTTTTTTTTTACGCATTGAAGAGAATCTTGCTGTATAGAAAGTGAAGTGGCACTGTCAACAGCAAGTTCAGCCACAGACATAACACAGAACAGCGCCCCCACAGCAGCAGCTTAGGCATGTCGGCTCTGCAGCACCCAGTCTCAACTGTAGTTGAACTGAGTCCCACAAACGCCTTCCCATGTGCTTTTTTGGGTGATATTTTCCCTCCTGCACACGTATTCCCTACTAGTCAGTTGGGTCTCAGTGGGAGGCGGGATCGGCGGCAGCACAGGAGCTGGTCACCCACATGGTTGATACTCAGACAGGCTCGGGATAAATGGAAGCTTTTCCCGCCCTCAGGTAAAGACATCGGTGCAATCCTCTCTTCTTTTTCTCCAATTTCTTCCTTTTTCCCTCTCCCCCCCCATTTTTTCCCCTTCCGTGTTTTCCCCTGAGAAACTGCTGCTAAAGGGGCAAGCCGGCTGGGGGGCTTAGGTGGGGAGTTGCTTGCTCCATCTTCGTCAGTCCAAGTTTTGCCCCAAGGGTTCAGAGTGCCCGTGCAGTTTTCCACTGTACAGCCACGACGGGGAAAAACCCCGCTCTTGCCAAGGATTTACTTATTTACTGACATTAACACTGGGGGATCCCGGAAGATCCGTTAGGACCACGGGGTCAGATATGCAGTTGTATCCCTTTGGTTCGTGGGGGGGAGGTCAACATTGGATGGGGCACCATGAGACTCAGCCCCCCCTCTTCATCAGGATCATACCTTTTAAACCCCAGCCCTTCTTTGAAGCTGGGACTGGGTTGTCAACTTTTAGCAACAAAAATTTTTTTGGTAAAATAACAATATTGTGGTGGGTGGGGGGTGCGGGGGGAGCTCAGCAGAACTCAAGTCTGAGTCCCAGGATGGTCCCCAGAGTAGCAAACAGCCATTTTCCCATACACGTGTCGCTTTCGTCCGTGAAATCAAGTCTCGCCATGGCAGTCCCCAAAACCCAAACAATAATACTTGTTGACAATGCTAAATCTGCTGTAGATCTTGTCCTTTTCTAGTTTAGATGAAAAGTTTCAAGGGTTTCAGTTTTTATGCTATATTTACCTCTGGAAAAGATAATATTAGAAATAACCTGTAAATTTTTGCTCAAAGAAATTAAGTGGTTATTTTAAGCTTTTACTAGTTAATCTATATCCCAAAGTTATCTTTTTTCAAAATTTTGTGCTGTATAAATTGGCATACTGTGAATATTAAAGATAATGTTATTTATAATAAAACCTGTCTATTTTTTTAGGTATAAAATTTTAATTCATCATTTCTTGAAAAAAGAAATTGAAATTAATTTACTCAGTGCATTATTTTTTGCAAAGAAGATGCCCCCTTTTCATGTCTGGATGGCAAGTTTTTATCACAGTTGACGTCCATTTATTCAATTTACCAATAAAAAAAGGGCCAAAAGGGGACAGTTTTTTTCTTTCACACCTCTTTCTTTTGGGCTTTTCTCAATTTTCCCTAAGTAAATGATCTCTCATTGTCTTTGTTTTTTCTTTTTTTGTGTTGTAGTAAGATTGGAAAGATTCCACCCTTGCTTGGCAGGTTTTGGGTGTGTCACTTTTGGCTGTTAAGGCCTAGTATCTAACTGGCCCTTCATTTATGGGAAATAAGCAGGTCTGTGGTTAAATGTTGAGCTGTACCCCAAATTTTTTATTTGCGTGATGTGTCAAAATAGTGGTTTTTTTTTGGTTTGCTATGAGCTTGGCAAACCTTTATACCCCTTCATTTGAAATACAGTATGGTTGAGGGTTTTAATCATTTTTAGTAGATGCTTTAGTAGATATTTTTATTTTGGTTCCCAACCTGATAAAAAATTTATATATTCCCGGGTTTGTGGAAATGTGTTTTTCAGGGGCTTCTTCGGGAACTAAGCAGTGGACTTAAATGAATTTAAAATTTCTTTTTAGCCATTTCCCCCCATAAGTGAAAAATGTAAGATGACGATTTTAAACCTTTTTAATAGGGTAATGGTTATTAGCCCGCAGGTGTCCCTCTTCCAAAGGGGAGAAACTAGGTAGAAATGGTGAGAAAAATAGGTAGAGAAAGGGGAGCATAGGTAGACAAAGGGGAGAAAATAGGTCGAAGGGGGAGAAACTAGGGCGAGTTGGGAGAAAAATAGGTAGAGAAGGGGAGAAAAAAGGGAGGGTGAAAAAATAGGTAGAGAAGGTGAGAAAAACTAGGTAGAGAAGGTGAGACATAGTAGAAAGGTGAGACACTAGGGAGAGAAGGTGAAGTGGAGGGGATAAAAGACAATCTGTATAGCTTTTTTTTTATTTTTTTTTTTTGTTTACCAATATTCGTAGTCAGAATTTTCTGCCTTAATTTTAAAAAATTCTTACCGGAGAAAAGCCTTAATCCCTTTTATACTTTTCCCTTCGTGAAAATTTTTATTTTAATGTTTTAATTCACTTACTTATGAATTGTTTTGGGGTTTGGGGAGCATATGAATTTGATATCCATGCCTTCTGGAAATAAAAAGAATGGGGTGATGCTGGATATTTACCTATTTGGGTAAGTAATTTTGGCAAAAAAAAATATCCATAAAAAAAAACTTTTCCTGTTTGGTTTTTTTTAATTTTTTTGTATTTTTTGAATTAAATAATAAAATAAAAATGTATAAAAAGGTACACATCTGTAAATCGGTATACAAATTAGCCCACAAATTAATAATAAAACTTAAATGGTGTTCTGGACCATTCTGGACCACTTGCATTTTGATAATGGTCCAGTCTAGACTCAAACATATTGTTTTAGTCTTTGGGATGTGAATAATAATAGTGTGAGGTGGGTTATTAGCAGATGAGAAGCCTCAGCGTTAAACTTTTGATTGACTGACGGGATTAAGTCCAGTGTTGATACAGACCGATGATCTAAGATTCCTCGTTGGTGTCAGCACTACTAACTTCAAGCTTTTCCTGAGGTGTAGCAACTATACTAAAGTACTAGTACATGGCTTTAAGGTAGTTAATTGATCAAAGTTTTAATAGTCCTCCTTTGATGATTTTTTTTTTTTTCTCAATTGCTGTCTCCTGCCAAAAAAAGGGTGAAACCAAAAAAAAAAAAAACATTCCCATTATTTCAGTCAGTCTTTTTGCCAGAAGGTGCTGATATCACAAATCGATTTCCTTTAACTGCAAATCCTCACCCCTGCTTTAGGGCAGGCATACCCTTCCTTCCTCCCGGGCTCAAGTTGATAACTGGGTTTTCTGAATCCCTGAAGAAGTTACCTTGCTCCCAACCCCCAAAAGCCCCTTTAAAAACACTTGTCTCAGTTTGCTTGCCTAATATTTCCAAAAAGCCCCGGCCTCAAAACTCACCTCTTTTTTTTACCCCCCCTTCCCCGGATCCAACTGTTCCCGGGGGCAACTACCACTTTTACCTTCCATCTCAGATTTTATACGCCATTTCTAGTGTCCCTTTACCTTCAACATGCCCCAAAACCCCCTTTAAAACCCCCTCCCAACCCCCTGAAATTTTATCATTTGGGGACCCCCCATTTTAAAATAATTTTCCAGCTGTGAATTCTTTGCTATTATTTACACTTGCGTAGAACCCCTACCCAAAAAAGTAAAAGTTGTTTATGGTATGGAGAAAGTGCAGAAGTATACAATTAACTTTTTGCTGAGCTGAGGGCATTGCTCGAGAAGCTAACAAAATTTAATCTAGGGGCATTGAAAGACACAAAAAAACCATGGGGAATAACAATAAAAAACTTGGGGGTTAAAGGACAGACAGGGACAGGCTGTTTAAAAGGAGAGAAAAAGGGGAAATTGGGGGGCATGTGGAAAATAACGAGAGCCAAAAGGATATCGGGAAAATATTCTTTATTTTCAAGAGTGTTGGGCGTGGAAAGTTAGATGAGGGGGGGGGTGGAGGTAGGCCTCATATTTTTTAAGAGCAAATTTGAAAGGGCCCCTGGGCTACAAGGAAGTAATTTTGGCAGAAGCAGAGCCAGGGCTAAGACTAGCCCCCTGTAACTGCAAATGGGAGAGTAAAAAAAAGGTAAGATCAACTTGCTCTGAAAATGTATTTTCCCCCCTCTAGCCTCTCATTCTTGCTGCTGTGCTGCTATTACTAAAAAACCCCTCCTACACCCTCCCCCCGTATTTTTTTGCTCATCAGAAAAACAAACCATCCAAATATCAAAAAGCATCTACTTCTCAGTGCTTCTTCCTCCCTTTGATATTTTGTTATCTTTTCCAAGACTTTTTCATTATGTCATTGTACATACTTACATGGAAACCCCGCTTACGAATGCCCCACCATATGAATTTTTCAGGATGGAGCAGTTGCTCGACGATTTTTTGCTTCTGGATACGAACAAAATTTCAGGGTGCGAACTTCCCCCCCCAAGGGAGGTTCCTTGGTGGGGGCTCTTGATCAAGAGATTTTGGGTCAGTGCTCCACTTCCCTAAATTAGTAATAAATTTAATTTTTTCTTTTTTCCTCTCTTTTTAACGCACTGGTCGTATCCCCCCGAAGCGGGTGGGCCCAAAAAAAAAAAAACAAAAGTTTTTTTTAAATGAAATTTTTTTTTTTACAGGAGAAGGGTTACTAGCCCCCTTTCCCTGGCATTTTAGTCGCCACTTACAACAGCATGGCTTACGGAGGAAAAATTCTGTTCCCTTCCCCCCGGGGGAAAAAGGGGAAAAAACAAGAACTACTAAGAAAATAGAAGAAAGCCCAGAGGGGGAGGAGAGAGGAGAGAGAGGTGTGTGTGTGTGTGTGTGTGTGTGTGTGTGTGTGGGGTGTGTGTGGGTGGGGGGGGGGGGTGGGGGGGTGTTTAGAAAGACAGTAAACAACACTATGACATATTTATTAGAAAACGTTTTGGCCCGGGACTTGATCACTTCTAAATCCGAGGTAGAAATACATTTTATTAGGCGGAGAGTGGGTGTGAGTGACGCACGGTGACCTGAAGAAGTTATGTTGGGATGAAGATGGGGGAGCGATGAAAACATGTCTCCTTTGTTGTTGGGTTTGGGGGTGCTTAAGTATCAGTATGCCCAAAGTTTTTGAAAATTTGTAGTTTCCCGAATTTGTTCTATATGTCAGTGCGGCGATTATGAGGCTTCTGGCATGTCGGTTCTGAGGTCTGGGTTTGGTGAAAACTAGTTTTTGCCTCATTTTCCCGTTCATAAATGCCCCGTGGGTCTTGTGGGGACACAGGCGTACCTTACTCGCTCTGTTGAGGCTTTCGATGCTCATTCAGGCGGACTGCAAGATCTCTCCTGTCTCGCCTACATACCTTGGGGACAGAACCACGGGGGATAGTGTAGACCCCTGCTGTAGAAGAAAGAAGTTTTGG